CGTATGCAAGCGATCGTGGGTGAGGGCATCACGTACGAGCTTGAGCACGTACCTCTTCGCCACGAGGGCTTGCTTAAGCCGCTCCGGGTAAGATCRTGCTCGGTAAGGAATGGGGGGAAGAAAGCTTAAAATAACAGACCGAGTGAGCTATTCATCGATGCTTCAAGCAACAGGACCCCAGACGGGAGGGAYGAAATCCATAATCACACCGATTTCAATTACTTCTCTGRTCGGATTCGAACCTGAGCGCTGATGCGAGCGATCGTTGGTAAGGGCATCGTGTTCAGGCACGTGCCCTATTGCCGCAAAGGATTGTATGGGCCGCGCCGGGTAAGATCGTATTCAAATCGGTAAGGAGCGGGGAGGTAAGAAGAAAAGAAAAAARAAACRAAGAAAGGAAGAAAAAAGGAAGGTAAAATAGCAAATCAGATGAACCTTTCAACGATGATACAAGCAATAGTCATCTCTGAAAAAGAGGGGTAAGGAAAGGTCGAGAGCTATAATCGCTCAGGTCGTTCCAATCGGATTCGAACTTGAGCGCGCAAGCAAGCGATCGTGGGTAAGGGCATCACCTTCGAGCTTGATCACGTACCCTCTCGCTACGAAGGCTTGCTTGAGCCGCTCTTGGTAAGAACGTGCTGGCGGGAAGAAAGCTTAAAACAACAGACCAAGTGAGCCATTCTTCGATGTATTAGGCAATAGCACATCGTGAAAAGGCGGGGTAGAGAAACTTGAACGACGAGTCCCATAATCACGCTGATTACAATTGTTTTTCTAATCGAGTTCGAACCTGAACGAGGATGCAAGCGATCGCAGGTAGGGGCATCGCGTTTGAATTCGAGCACGCGCCCTGTTGCCGCGAAGGCTTGCATGAGCCGCGTCGGGTAAGATCGTATTCAAATAGGTAAGGAACGTGGGGTGAGAAAGAAAAGAGGTTAACCAGCAGACTATGTGATCCATTCATCAATGATTCAGACAAAGGTACGTCGGAGAGAAGGGTGGGGTAAGGGAGCGACGAGACACACAATCATACTGATTTCGAGTTTTTCGATCAGCTATACCCAGTATCCCTGGTCCCTTGCCTTGCTCCCTCACCCCACCTCCTTTTTTGTCTTACCTTAAGCAATCTCCTTCCCTTGGTTCGTCTTTCTCGCCCGCCGATTCCTGCATGCTCGTGTGTATGTGTGTGTGTGTATGTGTGTGTGTCCCACCCTCTTTCCCACCGGTCAAACGGGGTGGGGACAGAAGGTCGGATGCTGAGGGGCATCAGGCCTCCCGGCCTCAGCCCCCCGGTCTCCACAGCACACCTCACCCAGACACATACCACAGTTAGCTCATATGGAATCGAGAGATTAGAGTACTCCTAACCATGTTATTATCCACCCGTCCTGGTTGGTAATCGGTCCTATTGCGAAATACCTTCTCGATTACTTTCCAACACTCCCTCCTGTCGAACCCATTGGCGACTATGGTTCGGACCAACCCATTGATTTCGAAAGCGGCCTCGTGTTCGTCAGAGCACAGGAGCAGGATTAGTACTGTTTGGGCTGTTAGGATTTGAAGGGACTGTGTCATGCTGCGATTAGACTTGAATTTCATGAACTTCATTGGGTTGAAGTCCAGTCCTCTTTTCTTATCATGTTTTGAGGTAGCGAATGAGCCGCCCGAGGTTGATAYTACAGATACTGTGATATTAAGGAAATTCGCAACTAACCCCTGTCTGTCCACTTCGACCTCCGTGGTTTCCTTTACCTCGATGTACTCGTACGGGTAGATTCTTCTTSTGGGTGATACTCYAGGCACTCCATTTTTGAGAAAGTCTGCGATCAGTGTGTTGTTTAGTGAACACAGATCGTCGATATACCTGTATGTTTCTTCSAAACATRCAAGTGCTTGCCACTCTTGGTTTTCGACAAGGTGCGCTAYYWGTTTAAATTCATATTTAAAAAAATACACATCGCACAGGATAGGTGAGCAGGCCAAACCCATTGGGATCCCAAGGGTTTGCCTCCAGACCCTATCACCCATCTGCACCACAGCGTTGGATACCAGCCAATCGCAAGTGCTGATGATTTCTGCCTCGCTGAAGTAAAGCATGTCGAATAGTCTCTCTTGCTGCCCATCGACCCAGGAGGGGTGCAGCGTGCCATTAGCAGCCACCCTTATTGCCACGCCATCCCTCGTCGTCCTGACCCTCCTCCATTCCATCGCACATCCGACGAAGAACTTGATCACAGAGATCAGCCCGTCATCGGAGTTATCTGTCGGAATCTTCTCGAAGCATCTGGTAATGTCCGCTGTGAAGATGGAATAGATACGCCTCGGTAAGTTGGCAACGAATTTGCCGATGGATGTAATCGGCCACCAGTAGTTCGGACTCACCCCCGGTTCTTCAAAGATCGCTTCGCTTTTACTGGCACAGAGCATCTGCACATCGATCGCTTGGAACTTGAGCAGACATGTGCATACCTCTGCGACTGGGGAGAGAACGAATCCCGACGTGTTGGTAATCCATCTGAAGGTGCCCTTATGCGCTTTGTACACGACCATGAGGTGTGGTAGAAGTGCCTTGTCTCCGGGGCAGCCGATGGGTGCGAGAGCGTTGGCCTCCTCTGCAATCTTGCTTCCGATTGCGACATGTGCTGGCTGGAGTGGTATGAAGTCTGGCCCAGATAGACGTTCCAATGCCAGCTTTCTGATGAAATTGATGCAGACGAACGTTGGGGTACGTGGGGCCTTGTCTGTTGGGCAGACTAGATATCTCTGGGTCAGCCATTCAATCTCAGTCCTGACTGGGAAACTGTTAATCGGCTCCTCCTTGATATGCCTGTGCAGCGCATGATACTCCCTGATGCTAGCCTTGACCCTGGTCATCACGAAGTCCTTCACTAGCTTCTCCTCTTTCATCGAGAGTTCTTTGTCCCAAATCTTGGTAGTCAAGATGCAACCCAGCGCTTCCTCAACCTCCGTCAGGGCAACGTCCTCGTCAAGTGCTCTCATCGGTATGTGATTGAGCCCTGAGTTCAACATGAGCTGCAACCGCCCGTTATTAGTGATTCCAGTGTCTGTGGCGATGACATGCATATTGCCGTCTGCTGGGATAAGTCTCAACGTGGCAGGGCTCAAGAAGTCGACATTCCTTCCTGCCCCGCACCTGCAGTACTGGAGATCGAAGCTCGTTTCCCACTCCTCCATCTTAAACTTCCTGAACACCTTCCCTGGTTTGCATATCTTGGCGCCAAGCGGTTCATCGTACCTCCAACCAATGACGACGTCATCCAGCCAGCACTCCGATTTGGCTCCCGCCACCTGCTTCAGCCCCTCCAGAACAAAATGCCTGAGAGAAACTGCCTCCATGAGTCTGCTAGTGTACTTGACGTGTATGAACTCCCTCTTGTTCTGCTTCTTTCTTCTCCACGCGAGCCTCCCCGAGGGCAATTTTACGAAGCCGCAACCCTCTTCCTGCTCGAAGCACTCGTCCTGCAAAGTGACCACTTCGGTGTTGGAGGCATTAATCACGCTTGCAGATGGGCCGGAATCCAACCATGGGTAGCGAGGAAAGGCTTAAGAAATTAAAATAAGGAAAAAAAAAAAAAAAAAAAAATCAGGCTGGAGAAAATGAAAAAACAAAGAAAGAAAAAAGGGAAAAAAAAGGGGACTTAACGAAGATCCGGTGAGAAAGAAGGAAGCGAAAGAGGACCGGGAAATTCCCTGGAGGACAGAAAACGTGTAAACTCAGCCAGGAGTTGTCCTGGGGACCCGGGAGCAGATGCTGATTCTTTGGCTTCATGGGGTTTCGATGCATCCCTTCTTCGCTTTTCCCTTTTTCTTCTCTCTCGCCTTGGTCGAGTTGCTGGTAGATACTGCCGAACTGCCCTGGGGGGGCAAGGGTCTCTCGTCCTGGTCAGTCCAAGTGTTTGCGCGTCTTTGCGTTCTGTCAAGGTCAGGGTTCGTAGCGGCATAGTGCGCAACTTGATCCATCATTCGTCCGTTTGGTTGTGGCTGCGCATTCTGGGGAGCCTGTGCCGCATGTTGTTCGGCAGGAATGTTCCGAGGCAGAGGCTGGGCCGGTGGGTCCGTTGCTCTGGGCATATCCTGCCTGAGGCCAGGCGCGAAAGGGAGTACCCTCTGCCTGGGTGAGAGGACGATTGGCGGGTTGCCACGTCGCCTTTTATTGGCCTGGTCTTGTGGCGAGCTCCTAGTTCTGATCCTAGGATTGCCAACCACCTTGGTGGGCAGAAGCACTCTCCCGATGGCTAGCGGAGTCTTGTACTTCCACTTCGCCCTGTCCACCACTGTTTCGGTTGTAAGCGTCAGATCGCGTTCGAGTGCTGCGATGGCCTCCGTCATGGATTCCTTATAAACGTGAAAGTGATGCAGGCTTTGATGGCCTCCTTCCATGAGATCCTCAGAAAATGAATGAACATCGAGGTTTTCATTTTCATTGAGGCAACATTGGGAAACAGGACATCGGGATGTGCAAGGAGGTACCATACCGCATGATCCATCGAGATAGGCCCATTCCCGCAGTCTTTCTTGCGTTCCGAAGCGCATTGGCATCTAAAGTAAGGTCGACCCACATTCCAACACTTCCTTAACCCTTTCAGATCAAACTCCGGGGCGGACTTAATCTTCTTTTGCCACATAGTGGGGAGAGTGTGCTCGCATTTCGTCAGGTCGAGTAATGACAGAGCAGGGAATTTTAGGATCGTCGGTTTGAACGATTTCTTGCCAGGCGGACAGTATCGCAAATCGCCGGTCATCGCGTTTGCTTTGCATTTTGCGACTTCTACCTTCGTAAGATTGGCAAGGAAGACAAGGGCATTCAATGAAAACGGGGCGAGGTGGTTGAACGTTTCAAGTTTCCACAGTGCATGCCTGAACCCAACCCTAGTGTGTTTGACCCAATGCGTGGAGGCGAGCGGTGCAAAGGCAGTGTAATGCCCCCCCCGAGATGATGAGGCTGTAGGTGGGCTACTGCTGATGTTCGATGTGATGGCGGCAATGGCGGCTTTCATCTCTGCCATCTCTTCCTTGTTCATGGCCATAGCATCTGTGATGGTGCAGTCAGTCTGAGGTTTCTCAGAGGCTTGCCCCTGGAGGTGTGAGTGGTCCAGCCCCCAAATTTTCAGGAACACTCGCTCGACCCTTGCGGTCCTAGCTGGCAATTCGGCACACTCCCGCCCATACTCTATCTTCCTATTCTCAAGCTCTCTGGCTAATCCCAAGAGCCTGGCGTCGAACGCATCCCTACCCCCATCCCAGGCTGAAGCGAAGTTCGCGAGATCGCTAAAGCCGATCATGTTAAAAAAATTAGGAAAGCGCCTAGTCTCAACCATCGTTTTCATTGCGTCCAGGATCTCAATTTTCATGGTGGCGATCAGAGCTTGAGACGGTTTGCTGGGCCACGCTTGGTCCTTGAGCCATGCATGCTTGTCCGTAATTTCTTCCCACCAATCACCAGGGAAGAATTCATTCGGAGGAACCTGCAAAACCAAGGCAATGCAAAAAGCAACACACAAGACTACAGGTTATATTAAGGGATGCAAGAGGGATTCACATGAACCAGGGATTATTTCGTCAGCACACTTCTGCGCATGTTGATCAGACCAACCCTTTTCCTCATCTCCCCTTTTTTGAAACCCGGATACTCAAGGCAGTCACCCATGCAACCCTCGTCTGGACATATACAGGGACACGGTTGGTGGGACACACCACCAACGACGCTGACAAGGGGATTCCCCCACGTAGTTGTGTGTATTGTTACGTCATGTGAAAAAAATCATCATCATGTCGAAAGGTGGTATGGTATTCCACGCCACCCTCAAGCCCCGAAACAAAGCATCGGCGCGTCCCCATACGATCTTATCAGACGAACACAGGATTTCGCAATGCCTACTTATCCATTCCAGGGGGGCATATGGGATTGCTCAGGGTAACTCTCCGTCCATGATGCGCCATCGGCCATGAGGTAGTCTCGCACGTAGGTTTTTCACAAGTGTTGTGTACATAACTCATCACATAAAACCATTAGGAAAACTTATTTATAAAAGAAATAGGCCCCACTCGTGGGCGCGAAATGTCAAAGCATACATATAGATATATATAAAGTTGCTTTAGAAAAAAGAAAGAATAGTTCGTAGATGTCCCCTTCGTTTTCGGGTGCGAAGCATGTCGTGACTGAGATGGTAAGAGAATTCGCAGCCACGTGTACCAAGCTGAGCGATTG